CACGTGTGCTCTGGTCGGCTGCCCGCTAGGAACTGGAGCAACTAACCATCCGTCTCAGATGACAGATCTCCAGATCTCCTCTTCTTCTTATTCGAATCACGCGGGATTTTTAAATATTTGAATCAGGTTACTACACTATCTCGATCTAAATTGTTTGACTTCGACAACACCCAGTATAATCTATTCACCTTAACTCGAACACCAATGTAGGGGCATTATTTTATGCGGATGTGCAACGAATATATAAAATATGTTAATTGAATTGTAATATAGGTATCCTAAGTAAAATTTTATAAAGTATTTACGGAAAAATAATCTTACATATTATACTATTTTATTAGATATATTTTTTTAATTTTAGTCAGTAATGAGTATAGTCTCAACGATGAACGATGTAAGATGGTACACACCGAATATGTGATTGCTCCTCGTTGCGCAAAAGCAAAAGTATTTATAAAAGCGTTTGCTAAATGCACTACTATTTGCGACTTCTCAAACATGGCCGCATGTTAGTTACTGATTTTTCTTTATTGTTTGCCAACGTATGTAAAAGATTTAGTAGTGGTGTTTGGTTAAAATATAAAGATACGTGAAAAGGGTTAACGAATAATCTATTAGTGATAGAAGAGTATTTTTTTAAATAAACGCACCGGTATTCGTATTGTTGATCTACTCCTCCCTACAGAGGTAGATTGTCATATATATTTTTTAGTTGTTTTTTTATTGTTTCATATTAAAGATGTTACAAGAACATCATCATATATCTCAAAACGGAATGCAGAGAAGTGCCAGGTTAGTATCTATCTAGTAGATATTGGTTATACTCTTGATTTAGACAACAGTTATATGAATCTTTATTCCAGAATTGGAATGCAGCAAATGGGGCCTCCCCCAAATCAGAGAACGCCAATGCTGATGAGTATGCCTGCTACAGGTTTGTAAAAATATGTAACACATAATTTTGGTTTATAAATATGATTCTCGAGTAGAATTAAATGTTCGTAGAAAATTTACAGTATAAGTAGTTTTCTCAAATTTTATGAAGCCCAAATAGAAATATTTTGTTGTTGTTTTTTTAATAGATACATATATGTAAAATTTATTCAGATTAATTTGCACATAAGAAAAATTTAGATACTTTAGAACTTTAGATAATAAAATGTTTCTTTAATGCAATCGATTGTACTCCTTTAGTACCTGTTGGTACCACTTTTATTTTCGTTTGTACCAAACATAATTCCCATAGGGTTTGAGGTATAAATGAAAATAAAAGTGGTACAAACAGGTACTAACGATTTCCAATCCATATCTGTTTGTATTTTTCATGTCGTGTAAATTTTCCAAATTTTATATATTTATTCATCCCTCATCCCTTACGGTTTGAAGTACAAATGAAAATAAGAGTGGTACAAACCGGTACTAAACGGGTACAACTAATTGCATTAAAGAAAAATTCGATTATCTAAAGTTTGATGTTAACTTCACATAGCTAGTTTAATTGCACATAAGTAAAATGTCGTTTGATAAATCAGTTACATATATTGTTTTTAATATTATAAAATATAACTAATTATCGACTAATACTAAAATTAAAACTAACTATTATTACTAGTATTTCAAAACGAATTTTAACATTAATAATACATTATTAATTATATACATATATTTAGTTTATAGCAAAGTTAAATTTAACTTCAGAATAAGTAAATTTTAAGTGAGATATTCATGTTATCAATACTCATTTCACAATATTTATATCTTTATCATTGTATAAGTGTGTTTATGATTTTTCCTTATAATCGAATGATTTTTTTCCTGGAGTGCTGTCTGTAACTGGTAATTAGGTATAATATAAGAAATTATACTAGGTATTTCAAAAATCTCGTAGTTGCATTTTTCTTTTTATATTTCATTTGAAATTAATAAATATATTTTACACATTTCTTTCCATTCAGCTTATTTTTTTTAATATTTAGATACTATAGTGTTCTGTAAGTTACTAAACATTCAAAACATAGCTGAATATTATCACTAATTGACAAACTGTTAGATTTGAGATCACTGATATAGTATAGTGTAACACTACAAATGTTCCTCATTTAATTTTGAATAAGTATTTCCTTATATAAACATTACATTTTTTTTAGAATTATTGTGCACCACTGGAAAAAATTGTCACTTTTAAAATGCAAAAATAAATAATTTTTTTATTCCATTGACATCACATAATTTTTGTGGAAAATACATATAACCACTAGCCTTATATGTATGTATCTACACAAATGGTTTGCACTCAGAATTTTTTCACATCGAATCTCATTTTATGCATTGTGAAACATAACTTTTTTTTGGAGAACTTCAACAGGTTTTATAGCAATGTTCATAAGAAAATATTTTTAAATTTAGAAGTTTCTTAATTTTTGACATATTCCAGTGTTACAGCCTGTATAAATATGTTACTTTTAGTTTCAAATAATATTGCAACTAATAATAAGCTAGTTTATTTATTTTCTTATATTATATTTATATCTTATTTATCTTTTCTGGACAAAAAAATTTTCTTAATTTGAATGGCTACCATCAGTATAGTTTCATTAATTGTGTAATGATGTAATTTATATGTATATATAAGTTTATTTACTTTTTTAATTTTGAAAAATTTAAAATCAGTTTTTCTAATTCATAATAAAAAAAATTCTTGCCAATTGTTAATTATAAAAGAAATATTTATGGCTGTTTTTGAAGGAAAATTAAATTGATGAAATCCTATTTGTTCAAGAGGGTGTCCATTTAGTAACCCCTTCTTAAATCTCCCATGCAGGCAGGGCCGGATTTTTCCTTAGTGCTGCCCTGGGCACTAAAAAATGCCGCTCCATTACCCATATTCTACACAAAATGGATGAGGCCTCAGAATACTTTTTGACTTTCCGCTATAAAAACCACAAAATTGGGAAATTATTGATTTCATACCAATTTTCGAAAATCGAATATTCATCAGATCTAGGAAGCTAAAGCTCAAAAAACTACGCCGAATGCTGTAAATCCCATCAAAATCAGTTAATCCGTTCGAGAATATTGTTGACGAAAAGTTGCGAAAAAGTTTTTTTTTCTTTTGAAACGACATTCGAATTCCTGAGATTTGGTACTCAGTTATCTTGAGCATTTCACAAGGCGTAGTGTGAACTAAAATAATGACCCGGGGAAAAAAAAATATATATAATTTTATATATACGCATATAAATTTATATGTAATTTTATATAATAGTGTATTACATATTTTATATTGTTATATAAATTATATATAGTTATAGATGATTTTATAATCATATATTTTTTTAGATAAATATATAAAATTGTATTTATTTTTATTTGTAAACATTAGTCATGAGTCATCTTAAGGCAGTCATAAGACAACCTATTATGAAAAGAAATCTAGAGGGAAAACTTCATTTTCTTAAGCCTGTATCAGACAATGCAATTTAGTTGCAGCGACAAAATTGTGGGGATTTTGTTGCGAGGATAAAATTGCATGTTTATTATCACACAATGGGACAGAATTGCTGCAATTTGTTTAGTTTCCAGTAGTGTTACCAACTATGCATTGTTTAACATGTAAAATTTCTTGTATGTATCTTGTAAACAATTATTTTTTATTCAAGCAAAACATTGCAATGGATGAAAATTTAAAAGTAAATTGCTGTATAGCTTTAATAGTGGCTTCAACGGTGTTACTAACAACAACCATGATCAACAGCCAACAACAGCTAGGTTGGCAATAAACAAATCTTCATAAAAGTAACTAGAATCCCTGCAATTTTGTTGCACGGTATAGAGCATGTTCTAATTCATGCAATTCAGTTGCCGGGACAGAATTGCATAGCCTGACAAGAAAAATTTCATGGATTCTATCGCTACAACCATATCCCTGCAACAAAATTGCATTGTCTGATACAGGCTTTAATAATCTTTTTTAGATTTTCTGGTTTAGTAAGTTTTGTAAATCAAGTTTTTTTACATGTACCATTCTATCTTTCGAGGTTACAATGAAAAATCTTTAATTTCATTCTGAAACTTTCCATTTTTATTTTCTAAATCACTAATTTATTTATTTTTTTAATAATAATTTTCTTTTTTAATTTCTTTTCATATTCCACATTTCATGACTATACAGATAACAATCTCTTAAATTATCCCGATATTGTAGAATCTTTAAAAAAAATTTTCTTAAGGTGTACTCAGGACAGCAGAGGTGGCAGAGATCTAGTGACAAAATAATATGCTCTACTAATAAACTTAACAACAAATTAATGTTTGGTTCAGACTTACTTCCCACCTTTTTTTGTTAACGACTTGTTATACTCGGGCTTACCCACTAGATCTTTTGTTTAACCTCACTTAATAAAGGAATTAAGAAGGATTTATAGCAAAAAGATCAACTACAAAGAATCTTATGTTTCATCTATTTTATTTTAAAGATATTGATCAGTATGGGCAGGCAGATGTTATACAGTGTGGACCATTTTGGTGATGTATGTATTGGTATCTTGGAGAAAGTTTTAGACAGTTCTGTTGCTAACTTAATTGCGCTTGCAGACTGGTTCTAGCTCTTCAAGGTTTTTGAGTTATTTTGAAAAATAGTAAATGGGCGTTTTCGAAAATCGTCTGTAACTTTTTTATTTAGAGGAATTTTTAAAATCTGGGGATACTTTTTCACAGCAAGTTTTTTCGAGGAATTTCACTGTATATTCAGATAAGAGCAGAAATAGAGCATTTTTTTTGGCTCTTCAATGATATAAGTAAGAAAAAATTTCGAAAACAACCTCAAAAATTAATATTTTAATATTTTTAATAAATCTGGCAACACTGCATAATTTTTTAAAACTATTATATAATAGTCACATTTTTGTAAAAGTAAAAGTAAAAATGATAGTAATGGCCACGTGTTTACCCCCATTATTAGTTTATGAATCTCCATGACGATAATAATATTTGCATTTAGAATTATTGTTAATCATAGTGTTAATTATTAACAGTTAGAGTGACATTTGTTTTATTCCAATGAAAAAAAAATATATATTTTTACTGCCACAGCTGTTGTCTCTTTCGTAGTTCTTAGCATACAGTTTTTCAAAACTTCCAAACATTCTTAAAGAAACCCGCACAAACCTTATGGGAAATGGCTCCCAGTTAAGGAGGTTCAATACCGAAAAAAAAAAAGGTATGAAAGTTTTCAAAGCAATTGAAATCTGTTAATAAATATGCATACTGTCTCGTGTAAAAATATCAGATCGATTGCCAATGTAGTTTTTTTTAAAAATGATATTAAAAATTGTGCTCTTATAGGAGTTGGGGCAAAAACTTTAATCAAACGTGAATATTGCTCTTAAAAATGGTAAGGATCGGGAAAATAAAATTGTAATTAAATAATTAAATATTACTAAACATTTTAAAACAATAAAAATATGCACTTACAATGTAATTATTGAGATAATGGAATGAATATATAACGTTTTGACAAATGCGAACAAACATCTGATCCAAGGAAAGGAAATATGGCAACACTGTACGCTGTATTTAACGCTTCGACTGACGCGCTATATTTGAATAGCTCATTTATAGACTATAAAATTATTCCAGTCGAAAACATATGTAGTAATAATTAATATTAAACAAATAGCAATTTGAAACAAAAATTGAAAGGATCTCTTTGCAAAACGAACAGTATAGATGTTCTGTCATAATCTTCAATTTGACAAGGCGACGTCTCACTATCATACACTGAACTTCTTGATAGTTATCATATGGATTCTCGTTTTGCACATTTTACTTTTTTCTCATCAATCCACATTCTGTTTCATACTCATTTTATATTACTTTTCAGTCATTACTTTTCCTTTGTACCTTGGATGTTCATTCATGTTTACGGAATACGCGCAAAGTTGACAGTAATGACAGTTGACCCAACTTCTATCACCACGCCATAACAATGTTGCCAGATTTCATCCATAATTTTACAAGCTCTTAATGAATAAATAGACACTTTTATTCAAATAAAAAGTTAATTGCCGTGCATTAAACACGAAAAATATATGCAAGCTAATATGTGTTGTATAAATTTCATTCGTATATATTATATTTAGTTCACTCAAATTAATTTATGTAAGGACTACAACGAAACTACCGTGTATAAGCATAGGCTTCCCTCCCACACCGCCTGCCCCGGAAGAGATGTATCAAACATCCATAAATTGGCTGATTTTTTTATATGTTACGTATCTCGGCGTCCTGAACAAATGTCTTCATGGGCGCAAAGTCTAAAACTCCACAGGTTCCGAGATAAATCCACCTAACCCCTAGAAATAATAAAATAATTTATTTTTCTTGAAATAATTAAATTCCATACTACAAATATGCTAACCCGTCTACCCCCTATCCCACCTAAGGCCCCTATTGATAGTTAATCCCTCAAGCTGAGTGCTGAGGGCGACTTGCTTAAGGGTCCCTCAATACTCACACTTCCACTTGTGTCATAAACATCACTCGATCCTCCCTTACATGAGATCACTAGATGCTGAATTTGTGTTAACATTTACGAAACTGGCTGATTTGATCGGTTGTGGTATTGACCATGCGCGTGTATAGCCAAAGGAGCGCGATGTACACATTTTGAAGCTGCATGCTGCATTACCTATTGCAATTTGTGTCGTGTTCAGTGTTTTACCAGTGTGATATTTTTATATTTAAAATTGGATAAAATTGTGTTCAGCCAACAAGATAAACTATTTTTAGTGCAATTAGTTACTAATGAAAAAGACATTTTAGAAAATAAAAAAACCGATGGGGCCACTTTAAAATTTAAAAAATGAAGTATGAGAGAGAATTACTTCCATGTTTAATAGTCAGGGGTTCTCAAAACGTTATAAATATAAAACAGAGGTACGTTGAACATAAAACATTTTAAATACTGTATATCAAAAAATATTCTCCTTAGAAAACGAAAGTTGAATACCGCCATAAGACAGCAGCAACAGGCGGTGGTCCCTCCATAAAAATAAAGGACGATCCTGTCATGACTTTGTGGATGGAGCTGCTCCAAATTTAGGTGTACAAATAAATTGTTCTTGGGACAGTACAGCGGTGTATGAACAAAAATGTGTGTTATTTATTACATTATAGATATATTATATAAATATGCTAAAAAATATATTTTTACAGATTCTACAAATACAGATGTATCTACTCCAAGTACGAGTATAAATAAGGCAGTAGTGGTAACATCGGAAACAGCTAGTACTTCAAATGTACCTGGACCTGCGGTATATGAACAAGAATGTGTGTTGTTTTCAATATTAGAGAAATTCCTGCAAAATTACATTTTTTTTACAGATTCTTCAAATACAGATACAACTACTCCAAGTACAACAGCTAGGACTGTAGTGGTAGCACCAGAGCCGGCAAGTAGGAATGTAACTGAACCCACAACATTATGCCTGAAAAAAAGAAAATTGGTTCATCTGGACTTAGATGTGATGAACGCGAGCTCCGTGTAAAAAAAATTAAGGAGAGTATATTACAACAGCGGGAGCTTCATACACAACATATGATAACGGCAAAAATGGAGTACTTGTTGGCTGTCCTTAAGGTGAAACACCAATTAAACGAAATCGGGGAAGAGCTTAACGTAAAGGAAACAAACTTTGATACCTTTGACCTAAAAGATATATTGTAAAATACGTTTACTCAGTTTCATTTACAAATAAATAAACAAAAATGTTTTTAATTTTTAATTTTATTTTTTAATGATTGTTCTAAACATGAATATGTATTTTGGACTACAGTCCTTACTAGTAGCAGTTTATGATTATTCATCGTAAACACAAAATTAAAAATCTAAATACCTGTAGGTACAACAAAGTATAATTTAAATAAATTGGGTACAGATTTGCTTAAACAGCACAGTGTGTATAGAATAATTTTTATTTATGGCAGGTTTTTCCAGAGCATTATTATGCAGTTTATATAAAATTACTTATTTATGACTGGTTTTATTATGCAGATATCATTTTGCCTTATTGGGGTGAGAGTAGGTAAATTTTTTATTATTCATTTCAAAACTATAAACTACATCTGTATCCTATTAAAGAAGATACTTGTCTAAAAATAACAAAAATAATGAAACTGTGTAAATCACTCTATATTAAAATGAGTATTAATAAATGCTCTTCAGAAAGCTAGACCAGCACCACCTTCTTGATTGTTTACGAGAAGTGCTCCTTCATCGGAGTCATTATTTTCATTATCTAGAAATTCATTTTGGTTTTGCAAAATGCCTATATTGTATAAAATTGCAGTTGCACAAATTATTGCAACCGAAGTTTCTACTTTTGTCCGTAATCCACTTTTTAAACAAGAAAATCTTCATTTCCAGACTCCAAACACTTTCCACAAGATTTCTTGTGCGTATATGTTATAATTATATCTCCGCTCAGGTCTTGTCACAGGATTTAAGCAATGTCGGTAAATAATTTTGGCAAGCATATGCGTTATCACCAAGAAGCAGTCCTGGAATTTGTTGTAGTTCGAATCGCGTTCGGACTGCACTGCTATTAAAAATTACACTATCATGTGTTGATCCCGGATGTCTTACAACAATATCCTATATTTCTAAACGAGAACCACATATAACCTATGAAACATGTATCTTTTAGTCAACATGACTTTACTATACAATTTTAAATCCTACCTGAACATTCAGTGAAAACCAACCCTTTCTATTTCGGAAGACTTCTGCATTGTCTCCTCCAGGATTGTCAATTTTTATGTGTGTACAATCAATGCATCTAGAAACTCTTGGAAAATTTGCAACTTCATAAAAAGTAGTTATATTTTCTGTAAATTTGTTATGATCTCGTGGAAAATGACTGTACTCTTTATCATCTTCAAAATTGTCATCAAACTCTTCAAAATGGTCATAAAACTTCCATTGTAAAAATAAAATATGAAAAAAATAACAGCCTCACGGACAACAATCAAAACAAATGGATTAAGAAAGAATCTAACCTATAAACAGTCCCTCAAGGGATCTATCAACTACACTTAAGTCGAGGGCGTGTTTTGTCGCCCATCGGGTAGTTCAGGTGTTTATGAAATACTTAAGGGACCCTTAGGTTCAAACTCATCCTTAAGGGAGGACTATGAATACGGGCCTAACCCCTAGAAACTATAGAAGATATAAAAAAGTTTCATGAAAATATTTAAAGGCATTATGAACATTTGTAACATTATATAGATAACTCCAGGTTTCTTTTGTAATATCAGAATACAATTTTTCTAATGCATTATCATTAAAACTTCTTTTAAATAAAACTGTTCTTTTTAGATTTAAATCCTTCTTAAAATTTGATTGAAAGAAAACCGTTCGGTGGTCAGACACCATATCAAATACAGCACAACCACCGTCATATTTAAAATTAACAAAAATGAGGTCTATCTTACTTAGGGTAGTGTCTGTTACTCGTGTGGGCCATTCAACAATATTATTCAAGTTAAAAGTTGACAAAGTACTACACAAAATCTTAAAATCAATTTTTAAATTATAACCATCAACGTTAAAAGTAACGTGTTTTAATTTAATACTGTTTACATTATACATATTCCATTAATTCGAATTTTCCAGTACTCTGGCACTCTTAGGTTTTTAATCGTGCTGGATTAATGAGATTTTTCTATAACAGTTTTGAAAAATTATACGGTATTGTCAGATTTATTAAAAATGTTAAACTATAGAGTTTTAAGGATGTTTTTGACTTTTTTTCTTACTTATAATACATCATTGAAAATTCAAAAAAATACTATATTTGCTCAGTTTAAAACTCGATATAGCGCACATAAGAAAACAGAAAGTTGTTGATGGTTTCTCGCAACCGAAACGTCGCAATGAAAATCTAAATATACAGTGATATTCCTCGAAAAAACTTGCTGTAAAAAAGTGTTTTCAGATTTTAAAAATTCCTCTAAATAAAAAAAGTTACATTTTTGAAAACGCCACATTTATTTTTTTTCAAAATAATTCAAAAACCTGAAAAGCTGGGACCAGTCTGGAAGCACCATTAAGTTAGCAACAGAACTGTCTAAAACTTTCTCCATTTAACCATTTTCCTATCTCTTGTAGTTTCCAAGATACCAATACATAAACCACCAAAATGGTCCACACTGTATGTACTGACTTCTTGAAGGCATTTGACCGTATAACTCAGAACTTACAAAAACATAAAATGTACTGTTTTTGTCGTAATTTACTAAAACTGTAATTCATACTTATCTATACTCGATGGCCAAAATTATAGCTAGTGATTCATCGCTAGCTCTTGGACTAGTAAGGGGGATGAAGCATGCCGGGAATGAAAATCCATTGGCGTGTCTGCGTAAAAGGCAACAAGATATATAAAATATTGAAAAAATATAATAAAACATAACATCTAATATTTCTTACAGTTTGCTATAACTGGCACTTTGATCAATTTTAATTATTACAGCATTTTAAAACGTCCCAGTTGTGTTTTTTTAATTTATAAATTTATTATAGCCAGGAATTAGACCCCTCGTCTACGCTTATGCTATGACGTTTCTCAGGTCGGGCAAATCAAGTCCGTTTACACCCACTAAAAAAGCATTTCCCTATTCCCTACCAAGTGCAAAAGACAGAGATAAAATATAGATCGACGTTCAGTGTAACTCAGTCTATACACGATTATAGATTCTACCGATGTGCATGGCGAGCGGCACAAAGATAAATAATATTGAACCGTATAGAAATCATTTTATATTTTATACGCATTATGGTAATAGTGTTTTTATATTATGTATTAGTCACTCTTTATAATTTCGGCCGCCGAGTATAGTTATTTACAATATATCGCTATAACGTTTAAGTCTAGTCAATATCTTATTACTTCTAGAGTAACTCAGGGCTCTAATTTGAGTGTATTTCTATTTTTGTTATTGACATTACAGTTTATCTTGTTGTAAATTAATTTATGTTTACGAGTTAAAAATCTTTTTGAATCTACATGGCAGTGTAGTCAATTAAATAAAATACTTTTTTTGGTGTGAAGCAAATAATTTATTTCCAAATATTTCCAAATGCAAAGTTTCATCCTATACGAGTAAAATAATGTCCTCTCCGTTCAGCTAAAACTTTAAAGGATTTAGGAGTTTACTTTGATAGTAATTTGACTTTTTTTGTACATTATCCGTTCTAAGTCAGAATATTGCTATCCTGTTTGTGGTATCATGTATAATATTAATAATTTTATATATGTATAAAAAGTTTTTAAATTGCTCTGATGGCATATTTTGTGCATGTGGATTTGATTATAACTTTTGTAATTCATTTTAATATTGCTTCATTAGAGCATTAGCTTAAAATTTTTATATGCAGTTACATAAATAATGAGCGTTCAAATAAAAACGTGGTCAAGTTGGTTCTGAAAATTTGGACGTAGGGCGTAGCGTATAGCAAATGAACTTAAACGTCATCTGTCAAAGCGCTATATCGCCGCTATCAATTTGAATATTTTCGTTTTAAAAAGCGTTTAAAATGGTGTTTTCTCAAGAACAAAAAGTGTTTATCATAGAGTCCTACTTTAGAAATGGACGCAAGATTGATGGAATATGGAAGTATTCTATTGCGGAATGTTTCATAGAATTTTAAAATCAATTTCCCGGCGTTGTTGAGTACAAAATTTTTCAAAGTGCAGTTCAGCGTTGTGTTAATGTTTTTCTTGAAACGGGCAGTATAACAAGAAAAGAAGGAAGCGGCCGACCTAAAAAGCGGACTGAGGAATTAAAAGAAAATGTCCAACAAATAATGGAAAATGCGCCAAGAACTTCTGTACGTGTTTTATCACAAATGGTGGGAGTATCAGTCGGTACCTGCCACACAGTGTTAAAAAAAAGATTTGCGTTTGTTCTCCTATCGTTTAACTTGTCAGCAAGAACTTCATGAAGTTGATTTTCCGCGACGGGCTGTATTTTGTGAATGGTTTTTAAACAACTATGGTGAACTTCATAATATCACCTTTTTTTCTGATGAAGCCTGGTTTCATTTAAGTGGTTACGTAAACTCACAGAATATGAGGATGTGGTCTTCTGAAAAACCAGATAACTTTTTTGTCGAGGGCCCTCTACACGCTCAAAAAATTGGAGTTTGGTGTACTCTCAATCGAAGGAGGATTTATGGACCTATTTTTTTTAATGGTACTCTTACTGCGCAAAGGTATAGAGAAGAAATTATCGCTCCTTTTGTTAACCAGCTGGAAGAAAACGAAATTACAAACTTTTATTTTCAACAAGATGGCACAAGGGCACATACGGCAGGCGAGACGATGAATATGTTGAGGGAAATTTTCCAAAATCGACTAATAAGTCTCGATGCTGAACATGAATTTCCACCGAGGTCATGTGATATTACGCCATGTAATTTCTTTTTGTGGCCTTACCTTAAAAACACTATTTTTGAACTGCCTATTCCTGATTTAAACCATCTGCAGGCTCGACTTATAGACAAGATTCGTGAAATTAACAATACCCCGAGCATCTTAGAAAATGTCTTTAATTCTTTGAGGAACAGGTGTGAAAAGTGCTTGGAACAAGGAGGGGGACACTTTCAGCAGCTGCTTTAATTTATTGTTATAACAAGGAGGGGGACACTTTCCGCAGCTCCTTTAATTGTTTGTTATTGTTATCACGATTATTCTTTAAAATAAAGTTATATAGTCATTAACGTTATTGAAACTGACAGCTGCTATACAGCTCGTTGAGAAATGAGGTTAAGTTGGTCGCTATAAGCTACTCCCTACGTCCAATGTGTCAGAGCCAACTTCGACCACGTTTTTATTTGAATGCTCGTTAGTATTAATTACTCCAATATACCAAGTCAACTAATTTTTTTAACAGGCCCACTAGTTGCATCCCACTTCCTTTTTATTTATTTTTTTTGCTACTAATACCAATGTGGAATTGAAATCTCTCATTACCTTCATGATAACAATTGTCGTGGTAGAAATGGTACTATGTCTGTCAGTAAGTAAGTGCCTGTCTTCTAGTGTAATGGTAAGTGCATACAATGTGGGCTATTTTTCTTTATTAAATTCAGTAATTTTCAACATTTTTGATCAGGAGGGTGTCACGTACAACATATCAAAAGTTATAAGTATAGCCTTTCCGAAGTCAGTTGAACATGTTTAAAAAAAAACGAGTAATCAAAGGACCCCGCACAAACCATATGGAAATGGATCCCCGGTGGATCTCTCTCAAATTTTGGGAATGAACTCTTCAGAGTATCCTGATCAAAAGTTCTCATGGGCACAAAACCCAGAAACCGCTCCCAACCCCCCAAAATTACCCCCAAAGATCAGGGGCTCATTATACCACACCACCAAAAAAGTATCAGACCCACACATGCAATATATGGTTTCTGGTGTATTTTTGAGCGCTGGACACGAATACGTCATCATTTTTGCTCTAGCACGTATCAGTCTTCAGCAAACCACTGAAGAAGCTTCAGAAAACTGAAGAAAGAATATTGTGGCCTGTTTTACATGCGATATTTGGTTTCTGGTCTATTTTTGCACGCTGAGCAAGATTCTGAGGTGAAATGTGCTTTAATTACCTTAAGTCTTCAACTAACAACTGAAGAAGCTTCAAAAACGGAAGAAAGGACATTGTGTTCTGTAATTCACATGCGATATGTACACATCACTGAATAACCATGGTGTTCTTTCTTACTGAAGATTCTTCAGCGATTAGTTGAAGGCTTAAGGTAATTGAAGCACATTTGACCTCAGAATGTGGTCAGCGTGCAAAAATACACCGGAAACCACATATCGTATGTGAATCATAGGCCACAATGTTTTTTCTTCAGTTTTCTGAAGCTTCTTCAGCGATTTGCTGAAGACTGATACATGCTAGAGCAAAAATGATGACGTATTCGTATCCAGCGCTCAAAAATACACCGGAAGCCATACATTGCATGTGTGGGTCTGATATTTTTTTGGTGGTGTGGTATAATGAGCCCCTGACCTTTGGGGGTGGTTTTGGGAGGTTGGGAGCGGTTTACGGGATTTGTGCCCATGAGAACTTTTGATCAGGATGCTCTGAAGAGTTCATTCCCAAAATTTGAGAGAGATCCACCGGGGATCCATTTCCATAAGGTTTGTGCGGGGTTCTTTAATGAGTTTCATAGGCGTCCCTAAAAAAGTTTTCTGCTAAAGGTAAAAATTATAATCATTTGTATATAATGTGTAGAAAGTTTCTATTATATGTTCATTTGACCAACAACATATTTTAATTATTTATGTCTTCAAACAATTTTATTATATTGATGGTAAATTTCGTTTTTTTCCGTTTCAAAAGTCTCCAAAATGCCATGTTGTAATAATATTAGTAAACCAAATATCCCTCTTATTTCTCCCTTTTGCAATTGCAGTATGAATGATTTAATAGAAGGTGCCTATAATAAATTAAAATTACCTGAATCACACCAAATTCCGCATTGCTGCACTGCACTGCCAGGCGACTTGTCAAGAACTGAAATTTATGGCGCAGTCGACCAGAGCAACAATACATATTGGTGTTCGCTCGCACGCTCATTCTTCAACTGGGCGTATACATTTACCACCTGCACGTTTAGTTCGCCCAGACCTGTATATGGGTATGGCTAAATAAATATGGGAACAAGTTTTTCAAATATTTCAATGCCGAGTTGCTGCGTCAACGACCGAACCTGGTACATACTGTCATCCTCGTGGTTCTTCAATTGATATCGGAAAGACTATACTAATGAGGATTATATTAATTTGTTTGTTATTTATGGAAAAAATCAGCAAATTCTCTATATGTTCTTGAAATTACTTTATTACATTGTCCATAAATTAAAATAATCCTCGTTAGTTTAATTCAAACGATCCCCAGGCATTTTTATTTAAATTTTCGGCAAAAACTATTGAAACACAACAATAATTTGACAACTAACTTGACAAATATCAAGTTATTTCAATTGTTTTTGGAGTGTTTCTGGTCGTAGCCAATTTGACAATACGAGAAAAACTGATGATACGAGAAAAACTGTCCAAAAAATAGAAAATTCCAAATATCTCTAAAAGTAGTAACGGCGACCCTAACAATGCTTATATGGCTTGAAAGGAAATTTCAATCTTCATACGACATTAAAAAAATACAAGGTGTTCCAGTTAACAAAGTTATAGCTGTTTGAAGTTATCAAAATGTAACAGCAAAAATTAAACACCTAGTATTAAATGTTTTAATTTGTTGGTATACCATAATTTAGTGTTACCTAAACCCTTTACAAGTACCAAAAATTCACTTGATATCACTCTCCTGAAAGAGTTACTAGCATATCTGCAGACCCTTGCATCTGTCAAATTTTTTCGTTATAAATTAATATCTCAAATTCTATAACTCCTAGATATAAGAAATATTTAATAAAGTGATCCTCAACTTTCACGTAGAGTCCAAAAATGCAATATATAGGGTTTACCAATTAAAATAACGAAGTTGGTGTCGACTTCCGGCATAACCGGAAGTGCTGGAAAGTTCTAGATATTTTAGTTGTGTTTGCACCAGGGACATTGCCATGTTGCTAAATTTTTAAATTTTTCGGAGCAGTACTTTCCTAAATATCGATCGACGCAGTTCCCGGTAGGACACCCTGTACATATAGTATGAAATAAGTAACAAATATTTCTAAAAATTGTTATAAAGCATTATTAATATACATGGTGTTTCTAAAATATGGCACTAAACTGAAACAGGAGATATATAACGTTATTTAAGCAAAAAGTTTTGTATGATCATGGGTCAGAAAAATTATAGTAAAAAAGTTAAAATTGATAAAAGTGCACTATCACGACTACACTAATATGTTTATTTTAATTGTCAACAGGTGTTCTAGTTTCCATGTCACCCGGACCCACTTTAATAACAACAACATCAATCCCACAACAGCAACCACAACCGAAAGCTAATATGCAACAAGTATATCATTATGAGAACAGTGCCCAACCTGCAGAAGCAGATCAACACAATACAGAACATCAAAACTGTTCAAACACTAATACTTTGTCTACGCCCAACTCTACTTTGGCAAACATAAAAGAAAAAACACCAATGTGCTTGGTGAATGAATTAGGTAGGAAATAATTTTATTACTATTAATAATTCAATTAAATTTATAGTATTTTTGTAAGCATTCAACAGGATGTTTCGTTAAGAATGGGCCATAGACTAAGTCAAATGTTGGCTCCTTTTCAATCTATAATATATAAGGTTTTAAAAATTACCAACCAATAAAATTTCAGCAGTTGTGTTTTTTAGAGTAAAAAGTTGAAAAATAGTATTCATTGGTAAGCGCTAATTACATCTTACTGATGGAGCTAAACGGTTACAGTACAGATAGTATATTTATTGAAAGTCAAAAGACAAAATTATTTTCAAGATAAAAGATTTTTCATGCATTTTATATTAAAAACTTGAAGTTTGCAGATTCTCAAACAATTTTCTTTAATTTTTAGTATGTGCCCCAGGCACATAAACTAGGGAGTGTGTAGATGGGTGAAAATAATCGGTACTTCCCTTAAAATTAATGACATTATGACCGACTTTAAGTGGAGGTTATATTTTTAGAGGCTTCCTTTGATCTTTAGAAACACATATCAATAAAATTTTCAGTTGTTATTGTGTTTCTCTTAATTCCTATTTAAGTCTACATATATCAAAGCCTACAAATGATTTTCTGATTTAATTTCCACTGAAACCCTAAAATTGTGAATTGTCTTTATTTCGAAAATGGTTAAATTTTTCGATTATTAACAGTATAATTTTTTTATTTAGAACTGAACATAGTTTAATAATTTCTTATTGGAAGTTCAGATTTTTGAGGGAGAGAAAAAGGTTTTACTTTGACAGAACACTACAAGTAAAGCCTCTAGAACTGATTGCAAAATAGTTATCATTTTTGTAATTACCACTTCAGAAAACATAGGCATACAAACTTTCACGACAATCGGTTCAAAGATGCTTTTTTTCAACTTTAACACCCTGTAGATGAAAAGGTGCAACCTTCGGATAAGATGTTTGACATAATCGCTTTATTTTGATGTCGGCAATCTGTCATTAAGCTCTGTCTCATTATTAATGAATCAATCTGTATATTTATTTAGAAATATCACACATATTTCATCTGTTTTCATCTATGTTAGGTTAGGTACATGAATACTGTTGTTAATATTGCTTCAAAATTTAATGTAAATGTATCTAACCATTTTACAAAATTAATAACCAAATAGTATATGTGATTCAGAACTTATCCAAAAAAAAGAATTTAGGATGTACAGGGGACTCTTACAAATACAATTTTGTAAAGAAAAAATCAAAAAGGGCAGTTCGAAAATGATATAAAAATACACTTCTGCATGGCACTGGAAACTGGTCCACTGTAAAACCTGACCTCATACAATGCGACCAGCATAATGGCAAAGTGTGATAAAAACGAACAAAAACGAAAGAATTTCGCAAGGAAAAAAATAACTAGAATTTTATAGCACATTTTTATATCAGCAAATTCAACTGCTTTTGCCACTATTGTTATTAATAATTAATAAAATAAATTTGTTATTTTACTTAATAAAATAATTTGACATACCTGATGTTATAACCAGAGAGCGGACAATTTGTGACTTTAACCTTGAACATAGATATGTCATTCACAAATCTATGTTCGTCATCCATGACACAGTGGCGGCTCGGGTGCGCATCGGGAACTTACGTGATAATTCATAAAAATTCCACGGTGCATATATAAATGACTCCGTGCCACTTGCACGCATAGTTACGTATTAAAATTCGAAAGTGATCTAAAGCCACTAAACCGAGGGTGATTTTAATATGCCGCAAGTAGCGAACTCACGAATTGAACGTCTTAAAGAGTGGGTGGAACCGTACAGTTCAGTATTAGAAATTTTAAATGACGGAGAAATTTATTGTAGTAAATGTTGTAAGAAAATAAAATTTGTAAAAAAACATCATATAATTTACCATATGAATACCCAGGAGCATAGGAATGAAAACAATCATACTTTCAATGACGATTTATGTGAAGCATTTGCTGCAGCTAACATACCTCTAAAAAAACTTCAGAATCCAATATTAAAAAGTTTTCTAGAAAAGTACATGCATAGGAAGATGCCGGATGAATCTAAATTGCGAAAATATTCTGTCAATAAGGTCTATCTTAAAGTACTGGGTGAAATAAAAAATACTTTACAAAATAAATATTTATGGTTGAATGTAGATGAAACAACAGATGACAAAGGACGATGTGTAGTGAATGTTATAGCGGGAGCATTAGAGCAGAGGGGGTCGTCTCAACCATTTTTAATAGCAACCCTTTTTTTTGACAAAATCAAAGCCGACATAGTTACCACAGTTGTATGGGAGAGTGTTAACAGTATTCTTTCAGATTCTGGAACACATGCACAAAAAGTATTATTACTAGTTTCGGACGCAGCCGCATACATGCTAAAAGCAGGAAGGCTTTTGAAACGTATTTATCCACACATGTTACATATTACATGTCTTGCACACGCTTTACACCGAATATGTGAATTTATTAGAGATCACTTTGCCGATGTTGATTTGTTGATAAGCCGGATGAAAAAGATATTTTTGAAAGCTCATTCGCGTGTCGTTCACTACAGAGATTTATGTCCCGAACTGCCTCTTCCACCTCAACCAGTAACTACACGATGGGGAACTTGGTTAGATGCCGTTTTGTTTTATGCAGATAATTTTCCTTTAATTCAGCGAACAGTTCAGACATTAAAAGATGATGCACGGAGTGTTCGGGAATGTAATTCATATTATCTTCAACTTCCTTATTACAACAGCTACAATTTATTAAGGAACATTTTGGCATCCTGAGTAAATCCATCACAGCATTAGAAAAACGCAATAATACGTTATCCGCTGCAATAGCACAAGTTAATAACGTTATTTTCCAGTTAAAAGCCATTCCTGGAGATTTCCTGAAACCATTAACAGAAAAAATAGATAGCATGTTTCAGAAAAATCCAGATTTACAAACGTTAATACAGTTTGCCACACATTGTCACAGTTCTACTACATCTTCGGAAGATGACCATGTTTCCCTTTACGCGTATGCTCCAGTGACCAGCTGCGATGGGAGCGTTCATTTTCTGCCTTTAGGGACATAGTTACTAGAAAACGTCATCAGTTGACTGAAGAAAATTTGGAAAAACTACTAGCAATATATGTAAATAGAAAAGTATTTAGTTGCGAATGAGTGTATTTACCAGTACACATTTATTGTAATGTTATATTTTTATATCTTTTGTAATATTTATTTGTAACTTCATATTTTTTAAATAAAGCAATAAAGTTCAATTAAAAACAAATACCCCCAGGCGACGCACATGATAGAATAGTCCAACTCACGCTCCATTCATAACAGGGCTGCAGTTTGAATTCTGACCAATAGGAATTCGATAAACGCAGCCGATGTCGACGGATAGACTAGAGATGGGCGCGAGTGTCATTTCATTTCTTTAGAACTAAATTAACTTAATTATTTTCTCGTTATTTAACCTGTTCACATGATTTATGGATTTTAAATAAAGGGTACAAATCTTCGCGAGGATAATACGATATATTTGCTATACATAGTAATTATATTTTGCATAGTTTATACACAATACATTTTTGAACGTGTACGCATCTCTACCAAAATTTGACCTATCCTTCGGATTAAAGTTACACATTGTCCGCTCTCTAGTTATAACTGTTCAAAATTTTGCCCACCGACGTATAAACACATTTGGACCCGTCTTACACAGTTTTTACGAACTAACACAAAAAATGTTGTCTTGCTTCACCATAACACAAATGCTTCATCATAATATAAATGTTGTCTTGCTTCACCATAAATTAAAACGATATTCGTCAGCTCCGAGTTGCTATACATGCAAGCCGTTTTTGACACTAACTACTAAAAAACTATAGTAAAAAACTATTGCAACGACGATTGTAAAATCAGATTTCAGTATTTCGAGTCGCTGAGGCCACGCGTATTACAAATGACGCAAGAGACTACAGTTGCCTAGCTATTATGTAATGGTTGGAAATACTACAACATCAATAATTTTTTTCTCGGAAACTATAAGGATTTTACAAACATTTTTTTACGATATTGACTCCATTTCTCATGCCGCATCTATTTCCAAATTTTTTTGAAAAAGTTATGAATCACTCTGTATATAATATACAAATATGAATACAGGGTTTTTAAGAATACCAAATACACTGGTCTAATTATTTTTTGTATATTTCATAGAGGGCGCTAGTTGTGCTACATTCCTATTACATTTTAAGTTCTCATTTTTTTAAGGTTAGGTTTTTTACCATTCGGGCTCCAATTTCTAATGTACAATTTTATTTTCTAAAAATAATGTACTCTTGTTAAAATTTCCTAATGTGGACGGTTTTCGAGAAAAAAGGCTTTTAATTGAACTCTTACAATATTACGGTGTATAAAATAAGTGACTTTTCTCAAAGTAGGCTTATGTCAAAACTTATTAATGGATGTCTCATAAACAACGCATACATTCTTAGTAATATTTTAAACTTCAATTAACTTTATATCAAAATTCTAGTGACTGTAATTAGTCATTACTAACTGCAGTCACTAACAATCACTAAAATTTTGATATAATGTTAATTAGAGTTTAAAATATTACTAAGAATGTATGCGTTGTTTATGAGACATCCAACAATAAGTTTTGACATAAGCTAAAATATCCAAAAAATAATTAGACCAGCGTATTTGGCATCCTTAAAAACCCCGGAATACCAAATTTCATAAAAATATTTCGCACTGGTGGAAATTTCCTTTAAAAATTCTATTTAAAAAATTATATTTTGTCGCTCTATATCTCAAAAACAAGAGGACATAGACAAATAGTTCATAAGACAAAAAATTCTTATTTTTTTGCCATACTATCACCCCTGTATTTACAGGAGGTCTTTCTGAAACACCCTGTATAAGAAAAAGGAAAGTTAATCGGGTTATTGTTTTATATATATACCGGGTGATTCAGTTTGATATTTGCGGCCTCG